ATTTTAGTCTTGTGAGCACCTGAGAAACTTATAAAATGCCTTGCATCCACATACACAGCTTTTGTCCACACTGGGGGTACGTCTACACTGCACACTTATTTTGAAGTAAGCTATTCTGAAAGAAATACTCCAAAATAGCTTATTTCGAAATAACACGTCTACTCTACAGGGAAGCCTCAAAATTAGTCTGAGGCAGGCTCCCCTAATGTGGATACGCTACCTCAGTTTAGAGCTCCAGGAGGCAGTAGGGAGAATTACTGTGAATAGCCCTGGGGAGGAGCTATTTCGAAATAGCAGCAGTGGAGTGTCCCCACTACTGCTATTCCAAAATAGCTGTTTCAGAATAGACATTATTGCTCATGGAATGAAGTTTACAGAAGTCAGAATAAGCTGTTGGTTATTTCGAATTTATTTTGAAATAATGGAATTGCCATGTAGATGCTTGCATTGTTATTTTGGAATAATGGCCATTATTCCAAAATAAATAATGGTGCTGTGTAGACACACCTTAGGAAAAAAAATCTGAGCCGCAGTCTACTGTTAGTGCAGCTCCCCTTGTGTTAGCAGTGAAAACTGTAGTACCGATGAGACCCAAGCATTTAAATACTATTTGTCTTTTTCAGAGCAGAGGCCATGTCCATGCCAATCTACCCTTCCATCACTCTTACACTAGGGGTATGTCTAGACTATATGCCTCTGTTGGCAGAGGCATGTAAAATAGGCTACCCAACATAGTCAATGAAGCAGGGATTTAAATATCTCCGGCTTCATTAAAATAAAAATTGCCACCGCGCTGTGTCAGATCAGCTGATTGTCGGCACAGCGCGGCAGTCAAGACACGGATTGGTCGACGGGACGCCTTTGTCGACTGCTCCCTTATGCCTCGTGAAACAAAGTCTTCCCCTGTCGACCGATCTGCATCTCGATTGCCGAACTGTGCCGACAATCAGCTGATCCAGCACAGCAGGGCGGCCATTTTTATTTTAATGAAGCTGGGGATATTTAAATCACCGCTTCATTGACTATGTCGGGTAGCCTATTTTACATGCCTCTGCTGACAGAGGCATGTAGTCTAGACATACCCTAGAAGTGTGTCCACAATTTGCTGGTGAACAGACAATATAAAGTGTTTGTTAATTGTGTACAAGTATTACCAGTATGGCTGCAGATGTATTTATTCCAAGGAGTTTATGCTATCATTGCATTCTACCTAGGAATCTACACTGTGGCTGTGCCTGTACAGACTGAAAGCCTGATGTTTCAATGGCATCAATGCTATTGATCCTCTAAACACAATCCAACAAGTTGATTGTTAATACTTGAATGAGTTCTCTGGCAAAGGCTCTGGAGCAGTTATAATATATCTTTTGTAAATGATAAACACTTGAATGTAGATATACAACTTGTGTATTACAAATAGAAACTGAGGGAGGTCAGAACATCTACTGTTTCTCTTCCATTGAACTCAATGATGAATTTCCCATTTACTTGGCTGTTGAAGGATCTGATCCTCAGGCAATGTATTTAAACTACATGTAGCCTTGTTCTCCTGACTGATGCTACAGCCATTGGCAATACGATTAGAACGTGATTCCTACAACTGATGCAGATTTTATCCAAACTGATACATATAAGAGAAAAGACATGTCAAACTGCAAAATATGGAAAGTAATTGATCACACTGAAGGTTTCTTTGCAGTCCATGAATATCCACCACAATGACTTCGGACTCAAACATTTGCTTTCAGATGCAAATAATTGCAGGCTGAAATATGTATTTTTATGACAGAACTGTTCCTCAAAGCACTGTGCAAGTATAAATGCAAAACAACCTGTTTTGAATGCAAATTTCTGACTCTCTGTCTATTTACTTTAGATTTTTTTAAAGGAGGCACATGCTGTAAACTTGTAAACCTATTAAAGGCTGAACTAGAATCTGAAACCAATCAGTTTTCTTCGCTGTGATCAGTGCAATGAGGTTTATTTTGCATCATTCCTGTTATCTTTAGGAAAACACAGTTTTTTTCCAAACAGTCTTAGTGTGGTGTTTAAATATTGATAAGAATTCCAAGAGCTTGCAATCATACTCAGGGTTATGAACACAGAACTATTTCTTATCTACATTGTGAGGTGTCTTTTGTTACTTTATTGAATTTTTAGGATAGTATGAAAAGCCTTTAAAGGGAAACAGAATCATTCAGTATATTCAAACACAAAGCCGCTAGAAGTTTGGGGAACTGGATAGTTTCGGTGAGGAGCAGTGGAATACAGCTCTTGCCTCTATTAATTATTCATTATTGTTTGTATCACCTAATGCATAGGGCTCTGGTACTGCCCAGGGTCCTGGCAGCTCGGTTGCAGGCCCTGGGGTCTCAAACATTGGCCCTGTACATGGGGCTCTGCATCTGTCCTCAGATGTGGCCCCAGACTGGGGTGGTGAGGGGCGTGGATGGGGTAAGGAAGAGGGGGGGCAAAGCTAAGGACCCTAAAAATTGTTCCAGTGCCAGAGCCCAGCTCAAAAGGGTTTATAATTTAAGGGAAAGCTTACAATCTATGGCCTATAATTTACATTTGAATCATTTAAGTAATGTCTTGAAATCCATCCAAGCAGGTTTTTGCATAGGGATCAGTTTGTCTTTGCCTGGATTTTAGTTAGCTGTATGACTTAAAACAGCCTTGTGTGAGCAATGGAATATTTTCCTCTTTACATTCAAGCATGTTCTTGGGCAAAATGCAGAACCCATCATAAAGTATATATAATTGTAGTCTTTCTGAGCATGTTAACAGGTGGAGTTGATCTTGTAGAAAAAGATAAATTTTGAGCCATGTAACATGACAAATTATAGTTGATCTTCTTACAGTTCTTTATGGGCAAACTAAAGATGAACAAAATTGTGTTTACGGTGGAAGAAGAAACCCCGTTAGCAGAACTCATTAATTTGAACAATTTATCTTAAATACATGGGATATTCCAATTCCTTAACTCCATATCTAATCTTTATATATATTATGCAAAATGAGTTTTCTATAAAGGAACTATTTATAAACAAGGCAGAATTATTATTTGATTTTATTGGGCCAGCCTTACTGGTGGGTGACATGGTCAGATGAAAGCTGTCCAACTGGCAGGCCTGGGCTGCCAGAGCAGGGGTGAGTGCAGGAAGCCTGGGACTGGAGTCCCTGGCCAGGCAAGTGGGATGTGTGGAGGGACTAGGGGGCAATATTGTGGGGAAGTGCAGGCAGCAGGGCTCACCCCTGAGCAGACCAGTCCCAGGATACTCCCTTCCATCAGGCCTGGATGTTGACTGCACACCTGATGTCCTCACTGGTAGATGGTCAGGAGGTCTGTGTCAGGAGTGCCTCTGGGCATGCCCTGTGCAGCCCAGCCAGGCTCTGGCTCTGGGGCCAGAGGCTGGTCCTCATGCCCCACGCCACTGTTAAAAAACTAAAAGAAGGGGCAGTGGCAGAAGTGTTTCTAGGGTTTAGTTTTGCTGTGGGAAACTGTCAATTAAATAAAAGCGGTGAGGAGTCCTGTGGCACCTTATAGACTAACTGAAGTGTTAGAGCATAAGCTTTCGTGGGCATTTGACGAAGTGGGTCTTGCCCACGAAAGCTTATGCTCCTACACTTCAGTTAGTCTATAAGGTGCCACAGGACTCCTCACTGCTTTTGCAGATTCAGACTAACACGGCTACCCCTCTGATACTTGTCAATTAAATGTCCTCAAAGCATTCTAAGTTAGATGAAGTCTCCTATGTTTGTAGTTTATGTTGCTATTTACTGAGTTGTGTTCATCAAGCAAGGCAGAGGCTGTCAGACATTAAAAGCTGTGACTGACTGTCCAGTGCAGAAAAGTAATTCTGTGTTCATAGCTGATCTGAGGTCTAGTTAATTAAAGAAGCAGTAAGGTGGGAGAGAAATATTATGTTTTGCATGCCTGTTGCACATAGCAGTCTCCTTGTAGTGCTCTGTTCTTTCCATCTGCTCCTCTTTTCTGATCATTCTTCTCCCACTCTTACATCTGGTCATACTTCCCACCAATAGTCTGAAAAATAACTCCCCATTTCACATATTCCATCCCGTTACCCTTCCTCCTTCAAATCTACCCTTAAAGCACTCTTATTCTGTGATGTTTTCTTCCACTGATGCGTACCCCTGTACATACTTGCATTTCAGCTATTAACCTGGGTACTAGGGATGTTAAATTTTGATTAATCTGCTAATTGAATAGTCAATGGAATTTCCATTGACTACTCAATTACTCGATAAGGGGTGGGGCAAGGCACTTGCGATCCTGGCTTCACCTCTGCCTTTGAAATGTGCTAAGAGCCACCCGCAGCTCTTACTGCATTTCAAAGGCAGAGGTGCAGCGAGGAACCCGGGGTGAGTGGGGGTCTGCTTGAGTCCCCACTTGCTCTAGGGTCCCACTGCGCTGCCTCTGCCTTTGAAACATAGCAAGAGCCCTGTGGGGGCAGAGGCGGCGCAGCAAGAACATGGGGCAAGCGGGGACTCAAGCAGTCCCCACTCGTCTGGGGTTCCCTGTGCTCCGCCTCTGCCCTCTAGGGCTCTTGCTACATTTCAGAGGCAGAGGCACAGCAGTTGGACCGGCACAAGTAGGGATTGCTTCAGTCCCTGCTTGTGCCATTTCCTGCTGCACCTCTGCTTCCCCTGCTGTCCCCCTCTTCCCCCGGTGGAGACGGTGCTGGGAGGAACTCGCTTTTAAGCAAGGGGGCAGGGAGCACTGGCTCCTGCTCCCTGCCCCCTTGCTGCCTCTAACATAGAGGCAGCAAGGGGAGGGAAGCAACTATGTTTATTGGGATGTAAGCAATCAATCGACTACCCTACTGTGTACTGTTGTAGTTATCTGACATCATAGAAATTTCAGGACAGGGATCATTCTTTTAATATTTTTACATTTAAAGCATGTCACTGATAACAGATCTTGCAATAAATAATTGAAGAATCACATTTGATTTTCTTTCCTTTTTGTTTTGTTGTAGGTTTATTGCTAAACCCTGTGCCTTAGGTCTTAAAGTCCAGGCCAATGGACCACAGAAAGCCCAACCTAATGCTATTCTGGAAAAAGTTTTCACTGCAATTACAAAGGTACAGTATTTACTGAACATAATCATTTTATAAAACGTGATATGATGCTTTAACATTGATTTATGTAAAGAAAGATAATTTCACGTGAAAGAAAGGAATTGATAATGCAATGTTAATATTTCACAATTAAAAGACATGCTAGCTTTGCACATTGGCCAAGTCTTTTATGTCATACATGTTACAACTCGATAATAATATACCAAATTACACATTTAACCAAGAAAGGTGTAATACAAAATACTTCATAGGTATCATGTGGCTGTTTACATTAACATTCTTTTTTATTTTAATTTTTTTGTGTGGGAAGGGAGAGAAGGTTGGACAAAGGGGGAACATTTTACTCTTTATCAATAATGTTAGTGTGTTTGGATTTGACTTTCACACATCTCAGGGAAATTGTGAAGGATGGATACTATTGGTTGGCTAGTATCAATTTGTATTTTGATGGATGTTCTTTGCATCAGAAATAGAGATGTAAGCAACTAGGCGACTACCCGATAAGCAAACGCTTATTGGGTAGTCGAGTAGTGACTTGACTAGTCACTTCCCCCCACGCCTTAAAAGCCAGTTCCCCCCAGCACCATCTGAGGGGGCAGGAGAGGCAGAGGCATAGCTGGGACCGGGTGTGAGCAGGGAATCAGTTGATTTCCCAGTTTGCATCTGATCCCCGTCACTGCGTCTCTGCTTTTTAAATGTATTAAGGGCCACCAGCTCTTAATACATTTAAAAAGCAGAGATGCAGCATCTGGGGTCAGGTGCGAGATAGGACAGCTGATTCCCGGCTCACTCCCTGTTCCCCCCAGCTGTGCCTCTGCTTTTTAAATGTATTGTCTCTTAATATATTTTAAAAAGCAGAGGCATAGCTGGCGGGGTAGGGGGGAACTGGGAGCGAGCTGGGAATCAGCTCTCCTGGTTCATGCCCAGATCCAGACATTGCTCTTCTGCTTTTTAAATGTATTAAGAGCCTGGCAGCCTTTCATACATTTAAAAGGCAGAGCCATATTGGGGTTTGACTACTTGATTAGCTGATTACACACAATTTAACATCCCTAATCAGAAAAGGCTAGAAATATAATTTTTAACAATGATGTTTGGAACTTATGGAATTCTGTAGCATACAGCAAAACTGTAGGGAAGCTTTACACTCATTTTTGCCCCTTTGTGCTGCTATTTTCGCTTGCCCTCTAATAAAGATTGTGGGTTTGTGTTTGTGGATTTTGCTGATGAAATGTTTACAGATTGTCCTAGCAATAGTTCTTGGCACTGTTTGAGCCTCCTGATCTGGCTAGGATGCAAGAATGCAGTGATGGTCAGATGTCGTTATCACTAAAAATCTTGGCAGATGCCCACTTTGTTTAGCGGGATATCAAGAGAGGACGTTTTCCTCTGCTTTTAGTCATTCTCCTCATTTTTCATTAACACCAGTCTACAGCCGAACATAACACTACATATCAACTGGCCTGTGGCTTTGCAAGCATCGTGTCACAAAAAACAATATCAGGATTTCATACAAGCTTTTGTCGGGGTTAAAGTTACCAAAGGTGGTAATGAAGAGGATGACATATGCCAGGAGAACTCTAGGTGAAGGCCTCCTGCCTAAATGCTTTGCATCAGCAGAGTTGATCTCTTTACTGGTTTGGTCATCTACTAAGAGGACTTCCCTTGAGTTGCCAATTTAAAAATGGAAGACAGTGTAGTTTTTTTTAATATTAACATACAGGAAATATATTTCTCTGTGTCAGCTGAGCAGTCCCTTTGGCCAGGTCAACAGTTACCTCAGTTACACACAAGAGAGAAGGATGAAAGAGACAAGACTCATGCTGAGGGGTTTTGCAGGCTGGATTGCTCAAGGCATGTATAGCAATGGGCAGGGAGTGCTAGAGATGAGGTCTACTAAAAGGGTTCATTTATAATTAGGCATGGAAAGATTAACCAATAAAAATTTCTAATGTCAGAAAATGTTGATTTCACTAAACACACTGAAGAAATATATTTTCATTGTTCAAATGTAAGAAAAGTGCTGCCTAAGAACCTAATAATTTTGTTTAAGGATATTTATTTTGTATATTCTGATATGGTGTTACCAATTTGTGTTTTTAACAGTTATAAAGCTTTAACTTTTTGAATCTTTACATCTATGATAATTAAATACTTGCCTAATCGCTCTCTTGTCAGACTCACCTTTAATTTTGGACAACTGGAAAATTAAGAGATAAAAATAGATGAAATAAATATTGATATTACACACAGTTCTACCCAGTTGAGTTGTAACCTCCTGTTTTTCCCAGTAACTTTAAATACTTCTCTGTATAGTTGCATTGCCTTTGCCTCTTTTAGTAGAATACTGTATCTGATGTACATCCACAACAGGTGTTTGTATGAAGACACTTTTCCTTACTTCCAGTTGTTCATGAAGCTGACAGAGAGCTAGAGCCTGTCTACGTCCTAGTCATAGAATAGGATTAAGTTCTTTATGATCAGAGGTGGGCGTCTAAATGTAAAACCATATTATGATACCTGTTATGAAGATAAAATGCATCTGCAGTCATTTCATCACTTTGTGTTCTATAGCATCCAGATGAAAAAAGACTGGAAGGCCTCTCCAAGCAGCTGGATTGGGATGTACGCAGTATTCAGCGGTGGTTTCGACAAAGACGTAACCAGGAAAAGCCCAGTACTCTTACAAAGTTCTGTGAGAGCATGTAAGGAGCTGTGTTTTCTTGCATGTTTTTAGCATGTGCTTCCTTTGTTGTTAAGTGCCCCCATGGTAATTTTTCTCCCCAAAATGAAGGAATTTATCCTGTTAACTGAGAGAATCCTTTTTTCTCAAAGGAAATCAGATAGGCACTTGAAGAGCACAGGAGTGAGAATAGGCTGAAAGGATCTTTTAGAAAGTTATTGAAACAGTGCATGTAAATTTAACTGTGGGAAGATTAGAGACATGAGAACACAGAAAGGGAAACAAGGCTGTTGAAGCAAGGTTATGGGCAGGTTGATTCTTTGGAGTGTAATTGCTTGAAAAACTTATTTGTAGCTATGAGATATTCAGTTTATACCACAATTTTGAAGCAATATAATTTGAAAAGCTAGAAATGGGGACATAAAGATAATTTGGGTCATCATTTTTGGTAGCCCATCCCTGTTATCAGTGCAGTATGGTTGTTTCTTCTGTAATTTTCTAGCACTTTTTCTCATCCAGACTGAATAACTCTGGACAATTTAAGCTCCTCCCCTCCCCGCCCAATTCCTTTGGGAGGTTATTCCACAAAGTACTTGAGAGTACTTCTAGGAAATCTTTCAGCCAGCAGCTGAAACAGAGCTACTGCACTTTGAAGATAAAGTAAAAGCATGTTTGTCAAATGGTGCTTGTGGCATTCTCCTGGGCTGTGAGCTACCTAGAGTCAAGTCCTTAGTACAAATCATGCAGAGCAAGATTTCCACCTTGGTTTCCCACATCTCTGTTGTGCACCCCAAGCACTGGACTATTAGCTCTTACAAAGCAATGTTTTTCAAAGTGAGGTCCTCAGACCGAAGAAATTCCAGGGTGTCCAGGGACCCGGGGGCTGTGTCTACACTGGGCCACTTATTCTGGAAAATCAGCCGCTTTTCCGGAATAAGCTGTGAGCTGTCTACACTGGCCCTTGAATTTCCAGAAAAGCAACGATGCTCTACTGTACAAAATCAGCTGCTATTCCGGAAAAACTATTCTGCTCCCGCTCGGGCATAAGTCCTTATTCCGGAACACTGTTCCGGAAAAGGGCCAGTGTAGACAGCCCAGTAGTCTTTTCCGGAAAAAAGCCCCGATAAAAGCGCGTCTACATTGGCCACGGACGCTTTTCTGGAAAAAGGGCTTTTCCGAAAAAGCAGCCTGCCAATGTAGATGCTCGTTGGCTGATCAACTCCTGTCCCTCCCCCATGTACCTGCTGTGGCCTGGGACTAAGGCAGACTCCCTACCTGCCCTGGTTCCATGTAGCTCCTGGAAGCAGCCATTTCCTGCGCCCTTAGGTACAGGGGCATCCAGGAAGGATTGGTGCACTGCCCCAGCCTGAGTACGAGTTATACAGTTCCCATGGCTATGAAGCGCAACCAATGAGAGCTGCACAGGCAGCACATGCGGGTGCAAGGGAAGTGCACGGAGCCTCTATGGCCACTTCTGCACCAAGGGGCTGCAGAAACTTGGTTGCTGCTTTCAGGAGCCACAGTAAGTGCCACAGGAACCCCACATGCCAACCCCATGCCTGAGCCCTGGAGTCCTTTCCTTCAACCAAATTCCCTCATGGGGCCCACATCCTCTAATCCTCCCAAACCCTGTCTCAGCCCAGAGCCCCCTCCTGTATCCCAACCCCCTCATGCATAGCACCACCCCAGAGCCAATATCTGCGACTGGAGTCCTCACCCCCCCCTTGCAACCCAATCCTCTGCTCCAGCCCTGTGAAAGTGAGTGAGCAAGCAGGAGGTGGGGGTCTCAGAGAAAGGATTAGGCAGTGACCTCAGAGAAGGTGCAGGGTAGGGGCCTCCAAAAATGTTTAAATCAAAAGGGAGTTCCTTGGGTTGCTAAAGTTTGAGAATTGCTGTTCTAGAGTACGTGGGTGTATGTGTTTGTCTCTCTCCCCACAAGAAAAGTTTAGAATGCTAAGTATATCTGAGAGAGCAGATGTTATGGGAGTGAGTGCCATGGAAATTCCTGTTTCTAAGACCAAATGAATCCTGGCATACCTTCAAATTGTAAGGGGAAAATAGAGGTATGTGGTATCACTTGGTAAGAACTGTTTTGTTTTTGTAAAAAATAAAAGTGGCCAAATCATGGTTATTTCAGATATTGACAGATCAGTTGTGTCATCAATAATCCAGTAATTTACAATGTGTGTGTGAGAGTTAGCGATGGGCATCCAATAATGATAACCTCAGCTCTTTTGCAAGTGTTTAATAAACTTGACTGCATTAGCAAAAGCAGAGTGAACACAGAAAATTAAAGCTGTCTCTTCTTTTTCTTTTTTGTCGGAATTTGTTTTGGAGTGAAAAGCCACGAACATTGGTCCTTCCCTAACAAATTAGTCCAGTGATTTAAGCATATGATCTTCTTCCATCCTGTATTTCTGGACTGTTGCTGTTTTTTGTTATTCTTTTCCCCGCACATAAAGGTCTGACCTAGCTTCCCCTAAGGGCCTTTCAAATTACTTCAGTTGGATTAGATCCTGTGCTTGTGTTTGTGCATATGACATACAAGGAAATCTTGAAACGACTGTGACAGACTAATAATTTCCTGCTATATCCTGTACGTTGGCCTACTTAAGGCAGCCAAAATAGGTGATTCTGCATCTTGCGGAGGAGGGGGAATGTTGGAGTGTGGTGGAATTTATTCACCTGAAAAGCCAATTTTTCTAAAATAGTCCAATTCTCCATCTATCGTAGTAGCTTCATAGATATCTTCATTAAAAGTGGGTTAAAAGACCCATTTAGCTGCCATTCTTACAGATCCAAGCTTATTTTAGGGCAACACAGGATGAGGGACTAAAAGTACATGACAAGAAATATTCTTGGCATCCCAATGAGTTGGATTTAGGGTACTCTAAACTAATCTTGCAGGGGCGCTTGGAAGTCTACAGGCGCCTAAGCAATGTAACAAGTATAAGAACTTCAAAGTTAAGATGCCTTAACTATACTCCCCAATTATTCTGATGTTGCTGTTTGACGTTATTGTGACTTGGGAAGAATTTGGCCCGTTCAGAAAAGCTGGCTTTTCAGCTGACCAATATGTTCTGTCCAGTCAGAGCAGCTTTAATATTCACATCCCCTGATAATGCCTTGCTACTTAGTCATCAGTGAAGTAATGGGAAAGAACTCCATTACAATTCTGTTTGATTCAATGTGCTTCGATTTGCAAGTAACAGAACATGGCATTATAGGTCTATATAAGTCTCCAGTTCATCAATATAAATTTTGAATCACTTCATCTCACACATGGTGGAAGACTAACCAGTGTTTCATAAGCAGAAAGAACAACAGGAAGTGATTTGTAAAGCAGATGTTGCTAGATGTAGGGCAAGTGGCTGTTGCTTTGCATTCTGAATGCATACATGGAATATGGGGAAAAACTGGGTCATTACTGCAAGTGGCGCAGTTTTGGTTTTAGTTTATTTGTGAGGAACTGTACTTTTAAGAAGCTCTGAAAACCAGTTATAATATACAGCAGGACCTTGTTAAGCTATGCTGAGCAGTTAGAACTAGGACATGAAATGATGCAGACTTCTGTCAGATTTCTTGGCTCTGAGTGATGGGTGACACCACCATAATGACAATAAGCTACAGGTGAGGTGCATATGCATCCAGGATCCCCTGATCCTTCCCTTTCTGAATCCCTATCAGATTCTGTTCCCTTTCCACTTTCCTGATTGGCTTCTGCTCCTATTAAGACATTTCACATCATGACCAGCCTCTCAGTGGACTCTTTCTTCCTCCATCTGCAAGTGACGGGCTGATTTCACCCAATCAGGGCCAAATTCAGTCCCAAAAGCAGGTACATCTGTTGATCATCCTAGACTCAGGTGTGGAAATGTTGCACAAAGAGGTAATTGCTGCAAACTCTAGCTGGTTGGTGGGTGCAAGTGTGTGAGAGACCTTAAATGAGGTAGAGGAGGTTCCAGAGAGAAGTGGTATTAGCACCTCTGGCTTTTTACATCTCTCCTCTGGATTTAGCCCTGAGTCTAGATCTGAATGATCTGAAAGTGTACTTTGGAGATGCTAGAGCCCCCAGAAGGGGTTGCAGTACACATTGTCAGGAACGAAGGCCTGCCGCTGAATCTGGGACTAATTAGCTCTGGTTCCAGGCTGGTTAATGAATGCAGATGAGCTACAGCAGAATTGCCTGATTGAAAGGACTTAGCAGGTGTAGGCTGCTATTAGCAGTTAAGTAATAGCCGTTAAGGCCACTCAGTGCCTACAGTTGTGATTGGAGCTAGAACAGGGCATGAATAGAAGCATTGCCTTGACCAGCTTCTGATTCCAACTCTGACCCTTGGTTCTGATTAGTAGAACAAGCAGCCAACATCTCAGTTTCTGACTCAGAGAAACCATCTCTTAAGTAAAATGGGGTATGCATAGCAGCATTTGTTGTTAACGCTGGGCAGACGGTATTCTCTGTGTGTGGTAGCCAGATACTAGGGAGGCAACTCAGAAAGAGTCTCAAGGAATTGCCTCCTTTCCTTCTGGAGAGGAGGAGGAAGGTATTCTCCCTCCCCACCCTTCCCCTGTGGAAGATGAGTTAGGCCCACAAGTTCTGCGGTTGTTGTAAAGCAGAATTCCTCTACAGGTGCTTTGGCCCCACTGCTTGGCAGCATGAGTCCATTGGAGCTGCCTGCCAAGACTCCTGCAGCCATGACTAATCCTGGGGCTTCTGTAAAGGGGAGGGCTGCTTCTGAAAAGAGTGAGTGACAGGACAAACTAAGTGCCTACATAGGAATGTCAGGCTCTTCTGTTGATCATCTTAGGCTCAGGTGTGGAAATGTTGCACAAAGAGGTAATTGCTGCAAACTTTAGCTGGTAGTTGGGTACAAGGGTGTGAGAGACCTTAAATGAGGCAGAGGAGGGTCCAGAGAGAAGTGGTATTAGCAAGTAGCAAACTTGGCTTAATGTTTATGTTGGTGGGTGTTGATAACCAACAACCAAACCCCATGAACTCTGGGAGGGACATTTGTCTGCATT